GCGAATCCGGGCTCAGTGAAATCCGCGGAGGATATAGAGAAGTCCCAAAAGACCCTATCCAACGAGTTACTGAACGCCTACCATGCATCGTGCAAACCCTCGAGAACGAAGAGGAGGTCCAAGCCACTCTGGTGGAACCGAGATCTCTCTCTCCAAAGGAACAACCTCAAGGAATTCTTCAAGATCGCCAAACAAGCGAACGAAGAGATTGTCAATGAGGAATATAAAATCCTACTTAGGAGCTACAAGAAGGAAATACGTAAGGCAGTAAAGAAGCCCTAACAGCACTAATGAAGGCGCACTTCCCTGGATGCACCGAGGTCACTGACGCCAAGGAGCATCAGGACCTAGCAACTGAGGAACAGCACCCCCCAATAAGTCTGTTAACCACTAAGAGAATCCACTGGGCCATAGACTCCTTCGCGGGCATAAAAGCACCAGGACTGGACGGGATATTCCCAGCCATTATGCAGTTGATCAAAGAGGTTACTGCCCCATGGCTCTTCGCAATATACTCAGCATGCCTAAGTACGGGCTATATCCCCATCCAATGGAGAACCTCGAGAGTTGTCTTCCTCCCTAAGGCAGGAAAGTGCAGCCACGTGAGTCCCAAGGATTACAGACCGATAAGCCTTACCTCCTTTATACTAAAAACACTAAAAAAGCTGTTGGATTTGCACATCAGGAATGAGGTAGAGGGACTGATGTCAACAAACCAACACGCCTACACTAAAGGGAAATCAGTGGAGACGGCACTACACTCGCTAGTAGCCACCATCGAGAGCGCCCTTCACAACAAAAAGTATGCTTTGGGAGCATTTGTGGACATCTCAGGAGCATTCAACAACGTGGCCATAACCGCAATAACAAGTCGCCTAGAAGCGAATAACATACACCCTGCAATCAACGTCTGGATCAAAAACCTCCTAAGTTGTAGACGGGTGCAATCGGAGTGGGGCACTGCTTCCATGGTAAAGGGGGCACACAGAGGCACACCTCAAGGTGGAGTCCTGTCGCCACTACTGTGGAATTTGTTGGTCGACGACCTCATTAAGAGATTTGAAAGGAAGGCCCCAAAAATAACAGCTTATGCAGACGACATAAGCATACTTATTACGGGTGTATGTCCATCGACCCTCAGCTCCTTAATGGAACGTACACTCAGGGAGATACGTGAGTGGGCGGAAGAGGTAGGACTCAGTATGAAGTATGGAGTCCCAATGTAGTGGAAAGGGTGAAGAAGGCTACCATTGCGCTTTATGCATCCAAGAAGATGCTCAGCAGCACATGGGGCCTGTCACCTGCTCTAATGCACTGGATCTACATCTCGGTGGTGCGACCAACCCTGCTGTGGTGGCAGGCTACTGAAAAGAAGACATACCATAAGCTTATGGAAAAGACTCGGCGACAGGCTCTGCTCTGTATTACAGGGGCGCTGAGGTCAACCCCAACAAAAGAATTCGAAACTGTACTCGGAATCGACCCCCTGGAAATTCACGCTCGCCTGATTGCGGAAGAGGCAGCACAACGCCTTATAGCATCAGGAAACCTATCGATACAAGGATACGGGCATAGTTCAATCGGCAGGGAAATGACCAGATCAACTGATTACATGACCCCCCAAACTTGCCCTGACGTCAAAACAACTACATCTTTGGGACCTGAAGACTGGAAAATTGGAAGGGACCAAACTGAGGACATCAATATATACAAAGACGGCTCCAAGATGGACGGAGGAGTAGGAGCGGGCCTATACTGTACAGACCCTGAGATAAGGCTGTCGTATAAGCTACCGGACCAATGCAGCATATTCCAGGCAGAAGTTTTTGCCATCGGGAAAGCAGCGGAGGCCGCTCTCCTCACAGAACGAGCACACGATGCGGTCAACCTATTCGTCGACAGCCAAGCGGCGATAAGATCCATGCAGTCGTCCGCGGTCAGTTCCAGAAGTGTCTTGGCGAGACAGTGCGGATCTATTGGGTTCCCAGCCACCAGGGCATCGAAGGAAACGAAGCGGCGGACGTACTAGCTAAGGAAGGCGTCGGGCTGTAGAATAGGAGAACCGAGAACGTGCCTGTCTCCCTCAGAACGCTGCAAGGCGATCTAGAGAAGCAGGCTAGAGCACAGACTGATAGCAGGTGGAGGAGTACCACCATATTGGCCTATGCGTGGCCCCGCTGAGGGCCGTCCGGGTTAACCTAACCTAACCTAGTGGCCATGTCACGACATGACTTTGTGGACGGCTTGCTTGACCTGTCCCTGTCTCAAGTCAATCATGTGAAAAATTCCTTGGGTCGATTGCTTGATCTATGCTTTGTATCGGATCCGACCATAGTGTTGTTAACCCGAGCCCTTCCGCTCACTATACCTGAAGACGCCTACCATTCTACTTTCGAGGTGTTGCTAAATATAGGACCAAGTGAATTGGATCGGTCGAGTAGACTACCTGAACGGGTCCGCTGCTTTCGTAAAGCCGAGTTTGCGAAGCTTAATAACCTAATTAGGGATTTTGATTGGTCCGCTTTGTACTTGTGCAATGATGTCACAAAAGGCACAAACATTTTTTACAATGCTCTTGGCAAATTTTTTGATTCTTGTGTGCCTCTTTCTTGTCCGATTAGTTCTGGAAAACCCACTTGGTTTACCAAAGAATTATCCAGTCTAAAAAACTTAAAATCAAGACTTTATAAAAAATTTCAAGAAGTGGGTTCTCCTACTTCTCACTCTCGCTATGTAATAGCACGGTCAAACTTTTCACTTCTTAATGCTCAAGGCTATAAGAACTACCTATCTCGATGCAGGATACGTTTTTCTCAGGACCCTAAACAGTTTTACAGCTTCGTAAACAGTAAGCGTAGAACGTCCGCACACCCATCCTCGCTATCATTTTGTAATACGTCGGCAAATAATGATCAGGCAATTGCCGATCTTTTTGACCAAATTTTCCAGACGACCTATTCTGCGGAAAGCTACTATGGTCACCCGTACCCATACGGTTTACCGAGGTCGTACGTCATTTTCAGTCCCTTGATAAATTAATGTTTTTTACTTCATGATCTTCGACTAGTCAAAGTGGTGTTTTTACCGCGTCCAGACGGGGATCCAGGGTGTGCACTCAAGTACTGCGCCGAGGCACTGTGTGGACCCTGTGTGTGCTTAAACTATTCACCTTCCATTGATTCTTCTTGCTTCCCTCCGATGTGGAAGGAATCGTGTAAAATTCCTCTCCATAAAAGAGGTAGAAAGTCTGATGCAAAAAATTATAGATTTATCCCCTATTTCTAAACTCCGCATTTGCAACACCTCTACAAGACACTTATATCTCCAACTCAGCATGGATTTATAAGGCGGTGATCAACCACCACGAACTTGTTAGAGTTTACCTCTTTCATTATTAAAGCCTTTCAAGGTAACTTACAGACGGATGTTATTTACTTTAGCAAAGCATTCGACTCTGTAAACCATTCCCATTTAGCGCATATACTTGTCCTTTTAGGGTTTACCGCCCTACCTCCTGAGATGGATTTCTAGCTATCTTCGCTCCAGGTCTCAAAGAGTCTTCTTCAAAAACTCCCTCTCTTTACCAGTAAAGGTTTCTTCGGGAGTACCACAGGGCAGCCATCTGGGCCCCTTACTCTTCACACTCTGTATTAATCACTTGCCTTCGGTATTAACATACTCTCGAGTACTTATGTATGTGTGCGGATGATGTTAAACTCTGTGTCCAGTACAAGGACATTTCATTTCATTCTCGCTTGCAATCCGATCTCAATAACTTTCAGTCATGGTGTTGTGCTAACTTGTTACACCTTTATACCTCGAAATGCAAATTTATGACATTTCATTGTTCTAACCCCTTGTTAGCACCTTGTTTGGTTGTTCTCTTGAGATAATTACCCTGTTGGATGATTTGGGTGTTATGTTAGACCCCAAGTTAAAGTTTTCCGAACACATTTCTACTATGGTAAATAAGGCCATGGGCGTGCATGGTTTTATAAAGAGGTGGTCAAAGGAATTTGACGGAAGGAATATAACAAAGACTCTCTATACCTCGTTTGTTTGTCCGATCTTAGAATACGGCTCCTGTGTATGGTGACCTCAGTACAAAGTACACCAGGACCGTATAGAATCAGTACAGAACATTTTTTTACTCTTTGCTCTGCGGGGCCTTAACTGGAATGCGGGTGAGACTCCCACCTTACTCTAGTAGACTTCTATTAGTTAACCTCCCATCCTTAGTTAACCGTAGAAAAATTCTTGGTAAGATTTTTATGCACAACTTGATCAGGGGTGACATAGACAGCCCTGATCTGTTGAGCCGAATAAACTTCACGATACCTATTAGACTTACTAGAAATTTTACACCGTTGTTCCTTCCACTTTGTAGATCGAATTATTCCTTGCATGAACCATTTAGGGTCTTATGCTCGGATTGTAATTTCCTCTACCATATTATATCCACCACTAATTCTCTTCCTCTATTTAAATTACTAATCCTTACACACCTTTCTAGTAATTAGTAATTGTAGTGGTTTTTTTATTTTGTATTTTGAATGTATGCCTAGTTCTCGTCTACTCGCCTAGCTGTCAACAAGCTGTGCGTTCTTCCAGTTGAAGACCCTGTTAAAAGCCCTGGTCTTTCAACGGGGGGAGAATGTTCAAAGCAGCAGCCGTTAAAAGCTCTTAAGTGACGTAAAGAACTTCTCTCTTAAGTTGTCTATTATCGCGCACACACATATGTAACGTTCTTATAACTTATACACCACTCCTTCGATCCTACAGTCGGTCAGTCTGCCAGTCCTCTTCATCGTCGATGCGCTTAACACCTAAATCTAATTTCATGATCACGGCTTCTAACAAAAAGACACAAACAACATCGAACAATAAACCCCAAATTGTAACGTTAGAAACGGAGACATTTTTAATTTGTAAATGTGGAATCAGAGCTGCCAAAAAAGCTCGGCAGCTTCCAACACACACTTTGTATCAAATAAACAAACCTTCTGCATCTCCTGTAGACTTTGTTCGGCTTTCTGCAATCCTTCCATATCCTGTGCCATACGACGTAAGTGACGCTTGGCATTTTTATTTTGCTGGTAAGCATACCAACAACCGATAATGGCGCTTAGCAACAGGGTCACCAATATATAGTCCTTCCAACGGGTGCCGGTTTCTGTATTAGGTATATTTGTATGATGAAAATATTACGTATTATACATACATTTAAAAAAATGCAGTCCAAAAATTTTGAACGTTTCGTTACGGGTATTTTAAAATTATTTTCTTACCTCGTGGTGGCCCAAAGAGCACTACATCCATTGCTTTTAGTGAAATTTTTTGCTTATGAATGGGATCTTTAATACCAAGGACATTGCTAACGTACTGCAAGTTATTCACAGCTAGCCTATAATTAAAAAAAATATATATTACTTACTAAAAATGTGTATGTATATATTTACACTGGGCACTGTCGAAGTGCAGATTGTTCACTTATGCACAAAGTACACAGCTCAAGCTGTAAAGCGAGATCGAGCTCAAGGTCAGCGTTATTGCCGCATGTCGAGAGACAGAAGTAGAACACACTTTTAGATATGATTGTGTATGAATGCACGAATGGGCACCTATGTACATATATCGCTGATGCGCCCAACGGACAAAATAGAAAACAGCAAGCCCAAATGAACTATAACTGCCACCCAAATCTGTCAAAGACGAGTCTGCGACACTTAGGTTTTTTATGTGAATGATTTCAGTGCTCAAAACTAATAAATATTTGCATACAAAAAATTAAAAACAATACAAAAGCGGTGTTCTTCTTCTCCATCCTTGCAGAATTCGTTGTTCTTTTTTATATTTCGTGCCTGTAGTCATGCCGTTAACAAGAACTGCACAACCCACTGGTGATGATCCCACCAAACTGCCAAGTTTTTGTCCCACGGCTAGCCCCAGACCTTATGATATCCGCAATCTGCTAGATATGGTAATTTTCTATGACTTTCTGTTTTCGGTTTTTTCGTATCTTCAAAGTTGTGGATGCCACAGATTTCGTCCTTTGTGGGAGAGAGTGCGTGCCAAAACTTTGAAACAAACGTGTTTCAACGTGATATCATAGGAGTCTGAATACAACATTTTATTTCTCTAGCTTTTATAGTCTCTGAGAAATAGCCGTTAACCGAGTCGGACGGACGGGCATACGGATGGATGGACAGGCCAAATTTGTTTCGGAGCATTTGGTTGTTAAAGAGTACAAGGCTAAGAAGAATAATAGGCCCCCCTATATTATCCCTAGAAATCAGGCCAGTGCTCCAGCCTCATCGTCCCGCTCTGAATCCACCCAAAAAAATATCATCCTACGCTACTACGCCTATACAACTAAACAAAATTTAAACTTTTTTTTCCGTTGTGAACCTAACCGATTTTTATACCCGATACTCAAAATGAGTATTGGGGTATATTAGATTTGTGGTAAAAGGTGATGTGTGTAACGTCCAGAAGGAATCGTTTCCGACCCCATAAAGTATATATATTCTTGATCAGCATCAATAGCCGAGTCGATTGAGCCATGTCATCCATCCATGAATCATCCTAACTTAAAAACTTCATTACTGCTGTTTGTGAATATAATTAAATTATAGATTTATAAGCATTAATAAACCCTCTATGTACTGGAAACCCTGACGTTCAGCAGCGCTGCTGCACTCTCTCGTTTAAAGGGTGTTCTGCAGCCGCCTTTTTCTTTGATCTGCCGTCTTTGCACAATTTAGTTCTAAGCGAATCTCTCACCGCGCTGGTTGCATATAGGTCTCGTGTATAAATATTTATTTGGCAGGGTAAAAGAGCAAGCATTTGGCTCCAACTAAGCCGCCGGTATAAATAAACATTATAACGTTAACCCTAATTGTTTCATACCAATTCGTAAAGATATAGTTGCCAAATATATATAGCTTGGTATCTCAAACATTGGTAAAACCGACTGGATATAGATACATTGCTTAATCGCGTTTCATTTAAAAACATGTTAAATGAACAATACATTCGTTGCTGTGTAGTTTAACTACCAAATAAATTTGGTGTAAAATAAAAAAAGCAAGTGCGGCCGTGTGAGATTCCGTTAACTTAAGCGTCGAATCTATCATTCTGTGCACAACTGCAGCGGCGGCTGTTGAGTTTTCATGTCTTTCATTCTCGCTCTTGCTTCTGTATATCTTCGCTTAAATGGTATTCAATTTTCCGTTGTTTCGTCGCATTGCCCACCGTTTAGCATGGACAGCCTGGCTTGATAACAGGCTGAGTCTTTATAAGCGTAAATTTCTGTCTTTATATGATCGATTGCACAGACTTGGCGAATCCATCCCGGGCAACAAAATCGATAAATTGACCGCCGTGGAAATTGAGATTTCCCTTGATGTGTTGGCAGTAATTAGAGAGGAGTTCAATAAGGCCCGTAATGAGTTGTGACGTTCGATACAGACGAGATTCGTAGTGAGCTGCGCGAAAATTCTCATTCAACTATCATTGAAAGCTGAGTTAGTGGGTACTCTTGAACACCATCATCATGGCTTACAAAGAACGACTGCCTGAGCCGAAAGGACCTAGGTTGGCCGATCCGGATACGTCGAATTTTCGTACTTTATAGCAATGTTCAAATCTGTGACTCAAGCGGATGAGGCCTTGGATTCGGTACGATCGTTGGTTCGATCTCCGGTGCCAATTATCGTGCATCTCTGGGTATACTCCATAACCGCTTTAATAACAAACGACTTGTTTTTTAGGAACACATTAAGAAGATTGTTGGGCTCAAGAGAGTAGTCTCGCCTTCTGTTAAAAAGCTTCGGGAAGTTTCTGATGCTGTCAATTTAAACATGCGAGCGCTGCAGACATACGGAATTGCTGAGGAGATCTCAGGATTCATGATTATCAACCTGCTGCTGCAGAAGTTTGAATCTAAAACGTCAAACAAGTGGAAGGAGCACATGTCGTCGGATTTCTACAGTTTTATGAATTCTTGCAGGAACTCTGCCAAAAGACGAAGCGGTTGGCGTTAAGGTGGGAACAAACCATTCCTCTACGCATATTAAAAAAACGCTCACAGCTTCCAATAGCATGGATAGGATTTTAGACCTTGCGTTTACTACCGATACAACGAATACTCTAGTTTACAGAGGATCCTCTCTAGAAATTTATGTCCAGCTGCCTTCTTTTGGTCCCACAAAATCCTGCCAGAGGCCCTCGGCTATATTTTGTTTTAAGAGGGCTGATTTTATCTTTTTGAATCGCGCACATTCTCAGATCGATTGGTCATTCCTCGACGACTTTCTTGAGATTCAACCCGCCACTAACGCATTTTACAGCGCTGTTTTCTCCATTATTCCAACCTGTGTTCCATTACTTTTAAATCTCGTTTTTACAAGAAGTTTCAATTGAAAAATCGCAATTTTCCATTTTTAATACCATAACGATTACTTGGCTAAATGCAAACTCAATTTTAAACGAGATCTTAAACAATTCTTTCAGTTTGTTCACTCTAAACGTAATTCTTCACAATATCCCTCTTCTTTATACATAAATGATATAACAATAATATGATACAAATTCCGATATTGTTAACCTATTTGCTTAATATTTTCAACTTTGCTACTCTCTTCCTTCTAATAACCTGCCCTCTATTCACGCTACACCTAACGACATTCGTGCCGCGCACTCATATGTGCGCCCACCCTTTAAATAGTTCAAGTGGTATCCATCCCCCCTTTGTTGATTATGAAATCATATCAATGTGTCTGAATCAGATGTTTCAAACTACCTTGTCTCTCCAATTTGTCTGTTATTCCTAAGCTCTTCGAAACAATTATTACTTCTCAGCCTCTACACTCTTGTGATGTTTTCAGAATCACAGCACTGATTTGTAAAACGTCGCTCAGTTTCGTCTAACCTCCTTGAATTTTCTAATCCTCCTTGTCTCTTCGGGTTTGCCTCAAGGTAGCTATCTTGGGCCTTTATTATTTAACCTGTTTATCAATGATCTTCCCCAAGTTTTAAGTCATTCCCGAGTCCTAATGTATGCTGATGATTTCGAGCTATGTTTTTCCTAAAGCGATCGTGTATCGCCCTTCCTCTTAACATTTCGAAATGTAACGTCATGATCCTTCATCGCAACAAGCCTTACCTTATTGACTTCTCAATCAATAAAATTTCCTTGGAACGCCTGTACAAAGTTAATGACGTGGGCATTATCTTTGTACCTAACATATCTTTCAATTCTCATATATCCGCTATTTTGAATAAATCCAAAGGAGTCCTTAGCTTTATCAAAATATGGTCTAAGGAATTTTCTGACCCCTATACCACTAAATTACACTACGTTTCTCTTGTCCGGCCTATCTTGGAATATGATCCCTGTATCTGGTCACCTCATTACCAAAAATATCCAGATATGCTTGAGTCCGTTTAGAAACAATTTGTTATCTTTGCCCTGCGCGGTCTTTATTGGGACCCTTCTAGACATCTTCCTTCTTATGAGAGTCGGCTACGTCTAATTAACTTGCACTCTCTTGTAAGCTAAGTCTTATTAGTATTTCTGTTCCGTCCCGCCCGACTAGGTACTACTTTCCTCTCCGTCTTCCTCTCTGTCCTTCAAACTACTCTGACCATGAATCTTTCCGTAGCCTTTGCTGCGATTACAATAAATGTTTCCATTTATTTTCCTTTGATACTTGTGCTTCCAAAGTCAAATTTTCATTAATGAATAATTTAAGTTAACTTTCTTGTGTCTTGAATTATGATTTCTACATTCTTCTTTATACTACACATTGGAATATTCCATTTAATTTTCAGCTTGCCGATCCTGAACGTTTCAATCCTCCTCTTTGGTGCGACCGTTTTTTATGATCTCCTCTGCTTAGGCCAAATCAAGCTCACCGATGGCCTGCCTCTTCTACAGAAGACCCGGCTTGGGTGGACAGAAGGTAGTAAGCTCGGCGCTTTTGGCCACGCACAATTGTCCAGACTCGGAAGCTAAAATGGAAGCAAGGTTGGATGAAATTCTTCATGTCTTGTGAAGTCGAGAATTGTTTGGAGGCTGGAATACCATAAAAGAAGTAGATTGTGAAGCACATTTTGTGAGCCACCTTTCGCGATTGCTATCAAGGGAGTAATCAGTTCGTATGCCGTTAAGCGTCTTATACTTAGGCGTATCGACGATTCATCAGTTTGAAGCGAAAATTGTAATCCTACACTCCAGGCGCGGTATTTCACCTTTATGAGGGAGTATATTGATTTTCATCATATGTCCCAAGTCAAACCAGATTCCAGTAGCCTTTGCAAATATTTCTTGCGTCATCATTGTGTCCTAAAGGAAGACAGTATGACAATAAAACTCCGTGTCGTTTCCGATTTATCCGCAGG